AACCTTTTCAATCCCTGGTACAAGCAAAATTTTATTTAAAAATTGATTTCAATCAACGTAGCTAATAATAAACGTGTTAAGTGGACTATGATTTCCGTACAATGGGACACGTTTTCACAAACCATTGTTATTGTTTTCGTAAAATAATTATTTTGGGAACCTTTTCAATTCCTGGTAGGAGCAAAATTTCATTCGAAAATTGATTTTAGTGACCGTGTCTAATAATAAACGTGTTAAGTGGACTATGATTTCCGTAGCGCGTGAAATTGTAACTCGGCGATTAATGAACGAATTGTTCAAGGATACGCGAAGTTGCTCCTATGACGAATTAGTCAACAAGCGGCATATAGCTGGCACGCCGACGCCCTCGTACCGTCGACGACCGTCCAATAACAAAGTGAAAAGTGACGCTAGTCACCAGCCTCTCCAAGCGAGTGGTGACGCCCCGCGTCGGGTCAGCCTCTTGTGTTCGCGCCACCAACTTCAGTAGTTATGTTTATGCTGCGCTCGCAATTGAATGTCTATCTTACGTGTTTCGCGATGCCGCGTTGTTCGCGCGGCGGGTCTGGACAAACATAACACATTACGAACAAAACTGTCGCGAGTTACAACGTCGAACGATTGATTGAAAAGGCGATAACGATCGAACAATCAACGCGTCGTGTTTCGTTGCTCGCGCGACATCGAGAAGATCGCGGCTTCGTGATCAGTGGTTCGACGAACGTCGAACGAAGTTTTACTATAAAAACAAAAAACTCAGGTACAAGAAAATTACGAAAATTACGGCGCCGTCGGTATACGCGACCGTGACAATACGCAAGTTTAATTTCACGTTTTGCAAGCGACATGCCGAACGCCAGGTCATTCGACCTAAAGTTCAACGGTTGTTTTTGTATCCGAGAAACGTGGCCAACACTATTAAAAACGCGAAATAAGCACGCGTTGAATATTCGTGTTTATACAAGTGTACAAGATTCAGTGCGCCGAGGAAGATTATTGTGAAAGAGAGAAAGGAACATCTGGTGGAGTAAAGGTGCTAAAGAGCTGGTTACAAGAAAATATTTCGCGCCGGACGTTCTTGAACATGCACTCCTACACGCATTACAGCATTTACTATACCGTGAAAATCCTCGAGAAATAGCGTCGCGTCGCGCGTATTTAAATGGGAAGATTCGCGACAAAGTGAAAAGAAAAGGTATCGAGACGAGGTGTATTTTTAAACAAACCTCTTCTGGGGCTTAAATGATGACGATGGGTGTTATTGTATACATATCGAGTAAGTAATTGTTCTTCATACGTAAAGTTTCCGCGAGTTTTTTTTTAATCGTACGTCGTCGCGACATTTTGTTACTTTCGCCACCGGTTGTTCTTCGATACGTTCGATTTTCAGCGTCCATTAGAAACCATTAGCGCTCGTAATTGGTATGTTTTAATCGTTCGATGTTTATTGACCTTGACACGCGATCAGAGGTCCAGAAAAATATGAACATCCGCGATTCGTTCGGTATCGTCGCTACGAAAAAGGAAAAACAGAACGTACGCGGTCTTCGGATTTCGACTGCACGATTACGTACGTGGTTCACAATGTGTAGAGCACGTCACGTGTTTGATATGCCATCGACCTACATGTACCGCGGATTGACTCTATAACCAGCATCGAATCCACCGAACTCGGAACGGCCGTACGTTTTACGCGTTGCGAGGCTACGATTTAGGCACGCGTTTTCCCCGAATAAGTATATAAAGTTACATAATAACCCGTTGACGATCCATAGATCAGATTCGAGAGCGAATCGAAACGTTTGATAGCCTTATCGCAGAAATCGAAAACGCTGAGTCACGATAATTCGACGTCCCCGCCTGTGTACTATTTTTATTGCTCTACGTCATGTCGTTAACCATCGCCACGGTTGACTGTATTGCGCGCATTTCATCGTAATGACTTCGAAACCGAGTAATCGTAAAGTCGGACAGATTGTAACTTGTTTCTAATAGAAAAAAGTGTGATAAAAAAAGATTTGATTAATCGTAGTTACCACTGTCACGCGAACGTTTCGCGAACTCGTCGAGATAAGTTTAAATCGCTGCTACCTTTCCCATTTCAATTATTATTTATCACAGCGATGCATCGGTCTATTTTTGTATAGTTGGATACTGTTCGAAATAGTATCGTGTAAATGATTCTGAAATACACCGTGGTTGAACCTTGACGTATGCGTTTTGTAATTCTGCTGACAACTAAAAAATTGCAATAAAGCACTGTATTTCCTTCCTCAAATTAGATGATAAGAACGAGTGAAACTTGACACCAGGCACGTACGATTCTCTGGTAGCTGAATATGCTGAATGATTCTGAGAAACGTAATATCATTGCACCAGTACATCTTCGTTTTCTTTCAAGTAAATTTCTATTCACGCGTCGCATTTGAATTAAAAAACGACTGTGATCGTTAGGAGAATCTTTATAAAAATACACAAACCATCATTTATTAGACAAACGAGTAATTCCATTGTTAATAATTCTGTTAAAAAAAAAATAATTGCTGCATCTTAGTTTTTAAAATATAATTATCATTAAAGCTTAATATTTCTGATGATTGTATTGCGAAATTTAAAACCGAACCACAATTACTTCTTTTCTTTCGCCAGAATACCCAAGTCGTCGGAAAAGTAAACATTTACCAATTGAAATCATAAGCCACATTTGCTGATATTATATGAGAGTGCATTTTTGGTTGTTTATTTTGCAGTCTGAATCATTTGATCGACTAACCAGTTAATTTTTTTCTTTTGGAAATTTGGATCGTAAATTCATCGTGTTTATCGCAAAAAATATTAAATTATCTCGTAGCACTCGGTAAACTGAATAAAAAATACGTGAATTTGCCATACATAATATGCATAAAACATTATCGAACGAACAGCGAGACAAGAAGAAAGTGAAAAAGTTAGCTGCAATGTTTACAAAGTTATTTCTCTTGTTTTCCTGTTAACAAAATTTTCGTTTCGAAGTCCATTCCGTCTGTCCGTTGTTGTCCTATAGATCGTACGTCAAGATTTCTCAACTGCAATATGCTTATAATAGATCTTAAAGAATTCTTTATCAACTTTAGCAACGCTACTTCTACGTAACTTTGAACTATTTTTCTCTCGACTATTCCTTATCCGCGTCATAGTGATCGCGATCTAGTTGACATTCGAATGTATCATCTAAACGATTCGATGGAACAAGGAAAACATATTTCTCGGCAAGTTTACGAAGCTGTCGAACTCTTAAAGTTATTCAGTGAATCACTGGCAAAGAAAACGCTTCTCCGCGTTATTGCTTCCAATAGAAGCAAATAAGAAACTTGTTTTTGATCGCAGTAGATCAAAAGTAACGCCCTACTTGCTACGCTACTGATCGAACAATTAACTTGATCGGAGTTATAACCAGTTTTCGGTATCAGTAATCAATGGCTTTTGTACCTCTTCGATAATAAAAGTAATATTACAATATCGTGAAATACGTAAATAAATAATTACATTTAAGTATTAGAATTAATAATTATTATTGTACCGTAATCTTATATTATTGAAACCAGACTAGCTACATCAATGCCTTATTAAGATCTCGATGATGCTTGATGATATTTGAATTATATCGATACTACAAGAAGTGTTACAAGTACATTTTATTAATACATGTCTGGGAATTGATATGTATCGCTATTTGCGATTATGTCATTGGAAGTGAACTTCTCTAAAATATACTTGTTGAGTTATTCGAGTAGGTAGAAATTTAAAACAAAAGAATACAAAACTTCTTCACGAAAATGTGTAATGCATGTAACACATTGCTTCTATAATCAAACTCGGAGAATAGTTCTTTTGATAATATTCTTTTGACCAATGCTAACATTTGTTAACAAATTAAAAGACAATCTATTCTTAGGGAAGTCTATAGTTGGGTCGTGTACTTTTTCAGTGAAACGATGACTTAGCAAGTTTTAAAATATTACCTGCTAGGGTCAAACAATCTTTACAAAAAGCGGTTGTAAACATTGAAGATTTAAATATGCTAGCTCGACTCTGCTTGGATAGAAATGATCTGTTTACATAATTTGTTTCTTTGCTGTGGTTTCTTGTCGCTTTGTATGACGCGCTTAATGACGCGGAAAATTCATGATTTTCAATTTAGTATCTCAGTGCACAAAAGAAACAAATAGTTGCACTTATAGTTTGTTAATTGAATTGAATAAGTCATGGATCAGAATATTGCAATTTCAATTTCAATTTCAATAGCATGTGATGAAGAAATATATTTTTTTCGTATGGGTTTCCATTAAACATTTTTAAGTTAACCCCCGTTCCACCCACGTAATAAAAGTTAGGTTCAACCTTAATTTTGTTATACTTTGAAAGCCTTTCGAATCCATACAATTCAAGCCCTAAATCATTTGAATTGTGTTATTCGCCCAGTATATCAGAAAATCAAAAAATACCTATAAAATATACCTATTAAAATTCTATATTTTCGTCTCTAAGTTTGATTAGATTTCGAGCAGTCATTAGTCCTGAATAATAATGGTTACTTCTTGCATGTTTCTGTATGTGGCTCAAATAAAATATAACCAGCTGTTCTCAGGCTCTAACGAAGATAACTTTTTTTCAATTAAATGGCTCAATACTTTTACGTGCAACAAATTCTTTCAGAGCAATTGTTAAGAGGATAACAAGGGGTCACTAAATTTGTTTACACGAAAGTTGGTATTATTCTATTATTTCTTAGATAACATTTACTTGTATCGCGTTATCTTTACTCCTGAATCATTTAATTTAGTTTCCAAGAAACACTGTATATAAAAGTAAACAGAGATAAATGCACCTGCTCGTAGAAGTTGTAATCTGCCTGTTTGATAGGTTATTGTATTTGCAGATACCTGTACGTAATATTATGTTAGTGCTACGTAAATTTGTAATAAAAAAATTGTAATGGAGGATTGAATGAAATGTTACAGGTATTTACACTATGCGCATGCTGGATAATGGTAGCAACAATGCTTCGGGTCCAACGGGAGCAACGGCCTTGTCAGCAGTTCAGACAGGTGGTGGTACCGCTTCTTCGGCAACAGGTCTTACGACACTTCCGGGTGTAACAGACGAAAGGATGGATGCATCCAGCGATAGTGCTGTCAGCAGCATGGGCAGTGAACGGGTACCATCCATTTCCGATGGCGAATGGATGGAAACTGGATCTAACTCTAGCCATACACAAGCCGATTCTCATTACACCATGGATTATGCTAGGTGATTAAATCATTCCATCGAAACGGAAGCATTGTCGCCATATCAGTCGAGTACCATCAACTGTTCCATTAAGGGGCCTTTCTACTTCGTGGGATTAAAAAAATCGAATTTTTTTTTGCGTTTTCTTTTAATATATAGTCTCGAGAATATATATACTAAATATTAAATTGATATTTGTAAAACTGACGAATTTATAGCCTGCTGAAATGTACCACGCGCAGGTATAACTGGACGTAAAACTTTAAGTTTGAATACTCTCTATGGCATGTGATACAATTTCTAACTTCCATTAATTTGGAGATTATCGAGTAACAGCTTTAAAAGTAACTGATATTTATGAATTCTTTTTTAAAGAACCGTATTGGTTTGAATTGTACTTTTCTGTGGGTATGAAGAGGCAATTTTAAATTATAGAAAACCATTCTTTTTTTGTCGATTTGTTTTACTATTTACTGATAAATATAGAATATTATTAACCTCTTCAACGATGCTTCATCTGATCGCAAATATCAATTTTCTTAAAGTCAGAAAGTTTACGCTGGTATTGAACTTGTCTTCACGAAAATTAAAAATGGAAAATTAAAAAATGTATAATATTCGAAAGGAAAATTAACTTTCTTTAGATAAACTAACCTTTACATGAATGAAAACTAAATGAAGAATGTTAGGTTCAGTCTCTGATGAAATGTATTACGAAGAAAATGAGCTGTGTTTGAAATTGACCGATCGATTACTTTTCGAATCATCTTGGATGTCAGTTTGATTCATTCGTGGCTTCTAAAATGAAATTATTCAATCCTCGAATGCATTAGCATTTTCGAAAGATAAGAATATACACGCGTATACAAATTATAAAATTACCTAAATATTTTACGTTAAATTGTTAAATCTATAGAACAAAAATTGAAATTATGGTTTTCAAGAGGATAAATTAAATTACTTTACCTTTTCATACATGTCATCGTCATGCAAAATCCACCAAAATAAACTGTTATTCAGACTATTCTATTGAAGTAATATAGGCTACAAATTCTGTTTTCCAATTATTAATTACAATTTTTCGCGAAACGCACAGAACAAAGTTCAAGAAACGCTGGTATAGAACCTTGTATTTCCTGATCGTTGCTACAGTACAAACTGCCAACAGAGTGTATTCTTTTGATAAGAAACGTAGTCCGATCGTTCGCAAATAAAGAGTGTGGGAGATAAAGTAAAAGGTTACTCGAACGATAGTATTTATAGTCGTATTAAATATAAGATTAATTTGAATGTCGCGAGTGATTCGTCAAGATATTGGTACGCTTTTCTTCGAACGCATGCAACACCTGTAACGATTCCTCCGTATTATCGAAATGTTAATTACCAGATAGCTTAAAAATATTTAGTATATTCTGTAATTTTCAGCAAGTATCGTATGTCGTACGACTGCAGTTATTCCGTTTCCGGCAGAAACGGTGGTTCCCCGAGATGCCAAACGGAACGCACCATGCCACCGGTGGCACAAAAAAAGCATCAAATGTTCGCGAAACGATATTTCCAGGAACAAGAAACAGGTCAGTGTACTTAAAATTAAGCGACCAAAAATAGACACCGTTTTTGCAAATGGGCTTTAATTTATTGTAATTTAATTACAGGCTCGCCTCTGGGTGCTACAGCACATCCAACCACACCGATCAAATACGAATACGATTCGCATACGGTTGGTGCTGGGGCACCAGGAAACGCTTACACGGGGCCAATCGAGGGTGCAGCTGGACCGCAACCCGAAATGAAGTACACCTGCAGCGTAGATTTTACTCGTCATCAAACAGGTAGAACGAAATCATTTCTAAGGTTTCACGTCGCTGATAAATCCTTTATACACTCTCTACATACATTCCCTCTAAATAATTAAACTACAATCTAATCTTCGTGTATGATTAAACAGCAATTATTAATGAGGGTGCCTCCCAGCGAAGATTCCTCATTGGAGTTTACGTTTATGATGATAAACGATAAAGAATAAAAATATCAGATTCGCTTCTAAATGTACTTCGTTAAAGAATTTTTTAAATCGATATCTTGGCGAACAAAATTGTGGATAAAGAGTTTACGAATGAATCGAAAATTTGTATTCGTTATTCGCGAATAACATTTGCCTGGCTCTGGAATAGGGCATGGGAACGACCGCGAACAATTTGGTTATTGATATAGGGGTTAAATAGTAGATGAATATATTAACTAGACGTGTGTCTTAAATACATGTGACCTACATTTGCATCCAGCAGCTACCATGGATGAAAAGATATCTAATTAGGTGAGCACGAATCGTCAACGGTCTGAGGAACTTAATTGGTCGAAGTAATCGTCCGACAGTCGAAAGATCTGGGTTGGAATCCGAGATCAACAATTCGATCGTTCGATTCTTTTCCTTCTACAACCTTTGTTTCTCTGCGATGCCCAAAATCGATGAAATGTGGGGAGCATGTTAATAACAGATTTGTCATTTTCAGGACGTTCCGCTATAGAACACGTTCACCATAATCATACGTATCATTTACCCGCGGAGAGTTCCGGATCCCTTCAACGTCCAGTTTCTCGTGACAAAAAAGGTTAATTTCAAAGTTTGAAGCGAAATGTTACAATTGTTTCGCGTGTTAATTTTAACGTCACCTACTTCTGTATTTGTCTTTTCCAGTACGTAAAAGTGAGAACGATGAGCATCTGACCAGAGACGAGAAAAGAGCCCGAGCATTGAACGTGCCCATTCCAGTGAACGATATTATTAATCTACCTATGGACGAATTTAACGAACGTCTTAGTAAATACGATCTCAGCGAAGCTCAATTATCCCTGATACGCGACATCCGAAGACGAGGCAAGAACAAAGTCGCTGCTCAAAATTGTCGAAAACGCAAACTAGACCAAATTATCAGCCTCGCTGATGAAGTGAAAGAGATGAGAGACCGTAAGATAAGACTTATACGAGAACACGAATTCATGCTTCTCGAGAGGCAACGCGTCAAAGACAAATTTAGTCAACTTTACCGTCATGTGTTTCAAGTTAGTATATAATCACTTACAATATTAATTATATCAAACCGAGATATTGATAGTTTCGACCAAAGATTGAAACCATTCAAAAAAAAATAGTTTCCTTTATGGAGAAGTAATAATTGTCTAACGAATCCCTTTTCAGACCATATCTCAGTGTTAGATGTGACATGAATGTACAACATCTTTGCAACCCCACCAGATGATCAAAATAGATCCTTCTTTGGGTGATACTCAATTCTGGCAACAGATAAAAAAACCTTTTTGCCATCTCAACCTTTGTTCATCTCTAGAGATTAATTTCTTCAAAAGAATGCCTTGGAATTCTTTGGCCCACAGGGTTACACTTTAGCCCCCCACCTTCTTTGGCTGAATTAACAAATTCAACTTGTGAATATTTTCTATTCTCTGGCTTTACAACTTCAAGGAGGTATCACTAGGAATTAATAGATTTCTCTTTCAGTTTTCCAGTCATCAAAGAAACAAGGGACACACCCTCTTGACTCTAAGTAATATGTGTGTTTTCTTAACTTCTTCAGGGACTATAAAACCCTTATATTTCCCTTTTAGCACTTACTCTATCGCACCCTGTTCCGATCAAGTCGATTCTTGAAAAATGAAGTCAAATTCTAAGAGTCTATACTCGAACAGGTTCAAGCACCATCAAATGAAAATAAAATATTTTCTCTGTACTATTATGCAAGGTTTTAGAGTTAGACGCAAATATTGTACGAACAGTTACTGTATCATTGTTGGTCTAATCGGGGAAATTCATCAAGAAGAATACCGTAACAAATGAAACCAACAATATCGTTTAATTTTTAGTCTTTGCGAGATCCTGATGGCAATCAGTATCATCCGTACGAATATAGCCTTCAACAATCAGCGGATGGAAACGTGTTGTTAGTGCCAAGGAATCAAACGAATCCTCATCATCCGCGTTCTACAACGATGGAACCGAAGACGAAACCCAACCCAGAACACAAGGAATGAAATTATCAGGAGATCGCGTTTAAAATAAAATTTTCTTCGTACGCTCAAGGTACTTAAAGTGTTACGAAAACGCGGTGCTAAGAACGAAAATTACTTAGGATTATTAAATACGATAATATAAGAACGGTTTGTGTTGGAAGAATTTTCATTGCTTAACAAATTGGTATGTCTGTACGTCATATTTACTAACGACATCTTTACAAAACTATTTTAAAAAGCTCACATTGAGTTATGTCTTTCTCTACAACTGGAAAATAATCACCAAACGTATAAACACCGATTGTACATATAGTAATACGAAACGATTAGATAATGTCTAGAAATAGATAAACGATAGTCAACGCTTTACAAATCTACGTTACGTTTAAACGAAAAAGTTTTTTTTTTTTTTTTTCATTTATTATTTCAGTCGACGATATAGTAGACACGCAATATTTCTTGAGAGAGTACGAAAAAGAAAAAAATTATCATGTAGTATACGTTCGAAATAACACCTTTTTTTATATTAAAATTCATCAAAATATTATTTAATAATTGTAATTAAAATAATTTTCCTTTTTTTTATTATTATTTTTCTTTCAGCATACGTGAATTCTGCTTGTTAATTTTTCAGAGCTCGTGTATGCCCAATGTCGTATACGCTCCAAGCTTCATGAATATACACATACTTTGATCAAACTGGAATGACCACTTTCATTAGTATATTATAAGATAACTCGATGCAAGTGAAATAAAACGAAATACGATGCCAGTGAAAGAAATATCTTTTTATTGCTACTTTAACATTCATGTGATTTTAAAATATTCATAAACTATTACGACAGAAGTATAAGGATCTAATGCAACGTTAAATCTGCATTTAAAATGGAAATAAAATAAAAGGAACAATTAAAATGATAAAAGGCAAATGTCTGAGACGTGGAACGCAACATATTGTTCTATTAGCTATTGCATGCCCTGTACAGAAAACTACTCTGAGAAAAGTTAGCGTACTTCATTCAAGCAAAATTTAATAATAAATTGTAATATACAATGACGACGAATATGTAGTACGTAATATAAGTATGTGCATACGTTCATAGCAATGTATCGAACTGCTACACTATTGATAATAGTATTGATCAAAATATGAACAAACATAAAAAAAAAAAACACATATTTTTATAAAGTAAGAAATGAGTGAAGTTCAGGTATATCACATTTGCCTTTTTATGTATATATTAATGTAGTTAGTATAATTTTCTATAAATACTATATATATACGAATCGTATGTATTTATGTATATGCATATATATATAAAGTAATAATGAGATATATGTTATAATGTTAAAAAAAAACAAACAAAACAAGAAAATTGTTTATGCCGACAATTTATAATAGTCAACTCTTTATTAATATTTACGTACACAATTGTATTTATACTATTGGGTGTAGGCTGTCTTTACATCAGCGCTATCCAGCGTGGGGGTCTTTCGAGCGCCTACTTCCCATTCTAATCGCCCCCCTCTCCCCACATTACATTGTCACAGAAATCGCATGACCCTAAAAATGCTGCCATGTCAATCTAGCCGTCCTCAAACGTTAAACGAAAGAAATATAAGACAGAATTTGCTGAAAATAATAGTATTGGCTCATTTTTGCGTCGTGTGTCACGAGTGGTCGCTTTCCTAGTATCGCGCGATAACTTTGACAACCAATAAGGAAATGGAAGAACCCCACAGGGCTCGCGGACCCTGGTTTGGACAGCGCTGTTTTACATACTGTACTTAGCGAGTGGAGATCATATTGTTAAAGACTACTATAAAAAGAATAATTTATAATAACTCTGTTCGTGTACTGTACAAACGAACCACATTTATATGAATCTTTAATTCATCAGATTTTAAGATCTCCCATGTCATAAAATTTCTATATTGTATAAATAAAGCTGAATAAACCTTTGGGGAAAGTACTGAATGTACTTTGATATGATATATGTAGATGATACTTATCCATCCTCGCATAATTGCAGAAAATTAAAAGTTTCGCACAGTTTTTTGCCTGAGAAATCATTAAAACAATACTGCAAGCAATATTGAGTTACAGAATTCTATTGATACAAATGTAATATTTTTATTAGTATGGATAATTTTATTAACTGTGTTGTAAAGAATGACAAATGATAAAACTATATGGAAGTCCTTATTCTCAGCAATTGTATATAAAAATTAACTAAATATTCTGAGATCTATACTTTAAAATCTCACTTGATATGTAATTTTCACAGTAGAATTATTTAAAAGTTTTCTGCTTGACATAGAAAAAATATTATTGTTCTTTTTATCATATGTAAATGTAAGTAACATCCAGTGCATTCTTTTGGCCCAATTCTCTGGGACCTAGGGCCCCATTATCATTTCGGTGCCAACATTAATTACAGAAATTGTATACCTACCCCCTGTCGATTTTTCTTTAAAATTTGTTTTTCATTTTTAATAAATTTGTTTGATGCTTTAGGTAGGTATTCATAAACCCTACTACATCAATAAATTTCAGTGAAATACATTCACAATTGTAGGAGTTATGGTCGTTTGAAAATTGGATCATTTTTATGGGGGTTTTCTCATTTTATAGGGTTAAGGAACAATTTCTCCAACATTCTTAGAATTTCTAAATATTCTTCGCTAAAATACGCGTCGATTGCATTTTGAAACATTAAAATCCTCCAATCCGTTCAGAAGTTATAATATTTTAAACATTCGCATGAAATTTCCGGGGAATATTTGGCCATACATTATATTTTCGATTAGGAATTTTTTTCTCAAAAGTGCGTAGGATTTCGGGGGTATGTGTATACACAAAAAATAATTGTAATTAACGCCCATAACCAAAAATAATTTTTTCAAAATGATTTGAAATTTTTTAATTTCGTCGAAAAATTTCTGTACCTTCCTAAAAAATACTAGATGTTGTGGTACAAGCACCATCTGAAAAACTACAGACGAGTATAGTGACAAAGTAGTAATGAAAAATGACTCTCCATGCTCATCCGAAAATGAAGATGAAGAGCCATTTGTTGCAGCCTACTCTTGAGGCAATTTGTCAAGGCCTCTACGGGCACAAAGCCTTTTCTTTCTTTGGCGGTCCTGCCGAAGCCTGAAACTTAAGCCTAGGCTCGAGATTCCATGCAGTATACAGTCCGATAACGATTCTAGGAATCAGAAGTCTCGTGGAACTCGAGTTGGGCGAGCGTTTCGGGGAACTTACCACGACCGCGACTCTAAAGTCGCCGCACGGTAACAAGAACCGAAAGTACAACCAAAATAAACGGTACAATCCGTTTGGATCGGTTAACGTTTCGATTCTTCAGATCAAACTACAGGTACAAGACCTGTGACAGTCTTGCCCTGACCCTACCTACTTAAGGCTAGTGCACACATACCAGAAAGCTACCTACCTACCTAACGCTATATTTAAAAAATTCCAGAACGCATTCTCTCAAACAAACACTCCACGGTTCTCACACATAATGCCCGGGGCAAAAGAGCCTAAACTAGAGAGGATTCCCCGGGGTTCCTCCGACACCCGAACATTGCAAACAACTTTCACACTCTAAGGTACGTACCAAACCCTGAAATCAACTGACAAAGACTAATGACCATTGTGTATTTCTATTATAAATATTACATCATTTTCAAGTAAGAGAATCTTTGATAAAGTATACTATACAGTGTGTTCGTCCACCCCTGGGAAAAATTTTAATAGGAGATTCTAGAGACCAAAATAAGACAAAAATCAAGAATACCAGTTTGTTGATTGAGGCTTTGTTAAAAAGTTATTAACGTTTAAAGTTTCGCCTGCAGAACGGCAATCTGCGTACAACTGCGTGCGCATGATAGTGGTTTGAAAAAAGATCGCATGCGACTTACCAATCGTTGAGTATAATGAAGTAATACTGTCATGATGTTCAGTGGAAATCATTGGCAAAATCATCTGCATGGTCCTGCTGATTTCCAGGATGTAAGGAAGAGATCTAGATACTGTAAAGCACAAAAAAAATAATTATAATCTCTTGTTAAAATTATAGAGATTTTTAATTTAATATGAAAGTCTCTATTCAAAACTGAGGAAAGCTTCTTAATAAATTTAACAATTTTTAACCGAGGTTGCAAAATTTGAAAGCATACATATATTTATACTCACATTTTTTGTTCATAGAGCATCGCCCAATAGGTTCTCTTTGGTGATGCACTGACTCTAATACCGGTAACAAGTAATTTGAATTGTCAACAAAAACATTCTAAAAAATGTGAAAGAGTAAAGAAAAGAGAGTCCACATGCTCTGAAAGACATTTATGAATGCGCAATAAACACTGACTCTACCTCCGCGTATCCCTGAAATCGAAACGATAATCTACTAGAAGCTACTATGCTTCAAAAAACAAAAAACTATACTACGGAACAACCACTGATTCTACCGGCCGCTTTGCACGCGGTCATCAAAATTTCTGAAAAAAAAATTGAGGTATGAAATAATTGAATAATCACACAGACCTGTCTATTTATCGATTCAGTATTAAATTTAATCGATAAAAAGACAAAAATATGTAAATATATATAGGTACATACTCATTTGATATAATAAAGTTGATTTTACTAATGTTCGATTTGAAATTCCTTCCATTAGCGGTTTCCATGTATAATGGCGTCGATTGCATGCCGGTAGCGTTCCTTCCATTCGAATTGCAGCAACCAAAGTTCGTAATAGAAATAAAACATAAATTACGATTAAATGCATTAAAATAAATGTACCTATATCTTAATTAAGTATCAATTGGACATGATTATGTTCTATTAGATGGTGATATCGTTTAAGAATATCATAATTGATGTCGATAAGATATGAAAGAAAAGGCGCGCGAAGTTGATTAAACTTTTTTTACGATTCCGACTGAATTTGTAACAGATACATGTTAATATTAAACGAAAACGCCAACAGAGAGTGAAGGAGAGTACTAGTAACGATTAGAAACGTTTAGATGACAATAAGTAAAAAGTATGTACCTCATTAGACGCGAAAATGTCAATGCGTCTAACTGCACCACTTTCCACAAAAAGAATGGCGACCCCAAACGACAGTTAACCGTTGCGAAATAATTGGGGAGGGTAGGTGATCACATGGTCCATCATCTCGATTCTCGATATATATTTCCGAAGAAAAGGTTAAATCTTATATTGAAAATAACATTAATGATACATGTAAGAATTGCGACTGTAAAATAAATAGAGAAAAATACCAAGCACATAATTAATTACTTAATGATTTGTCACAATGCATGACATCTATCTTTCGATACATTCGATAGATTCGATAGTGTCTCTTAAAGATGAAATATCGATATATTGTATTATTCATAGATAACTCGGTCGATCAAAATACGAATATAATAATATATGAATATTTCTTATGCCTATATCTTGTGTGTTCTACAATATTTTTTTAAAGTAATTGTATTCTTACCATTGCTAATATTACTAAGCCAGGATCAGTAATCCGATACACTTGTTTTGAAAGCTCAGTCAGTCTGTGTTTACATCCTTAATCGCCGGCCGCTCGATTTCACCTTGAAACTGGGAAAAAAGACTTTTCTACGTTTGCTAGCTTTACCGATGTAAGTAGTTCAATTGACCACTGGTTTTTTTATCAAGTTGTACGTAAGCGGAGGGGTAATTTACTTGGTATCGGTCTGTCGTCTGGTAGAATTGATCGAGATTCGAAATCGTATGTCAGTTAACGCAAATCGGATTTCAATTGTTTCGAGAACAAGCAGGATAGACTCACATTTGCCCTCTTTCTCGAATTCCCGAAGCTGCCCGAAGCGTAGAAGCTGGTATCTAGTAATTTCCTCTGGGTTAGGTCTGTCGTCTGGTACATTGACACTGTACTGGTGTGAGAGGTACCGCTGATAAAGAAGCTATGGTTCTATCTATCGTAAAAAGTCATACAAATTTTGTTCAGAAAACAACTTTATATCTTCAATAGGTTTTAGGATAGTATTAGAGTAGAGACATTTGTGTAGAAAGTCTTAATCCTTAATCTTAAGTTATTATAGCGAAAAATTAGTGCTGAATTTCGGTGCTTAGCCGGTGCTTTCGTCTCGGTTACTTTACAAACGTGCAATTTGTTCAAAAACGTGATCAGAAATTGCAGATATTCCTTGTTAGTTGGCTAGTGTAGTTATTAAATTTATTTATCCATGGCGTCTAATCAGTGGTTGAATTTGATTAAAAGTGCTAAGAAAACAGCAATTATTCAAGATGGTAAATTAAAAATTTATTATCTGATTATTGATATTTAAGTTATTTTGTATTTATCTGTATTAAAATTCTATTTGAACAATAATTGAAAATGTAATATTATGAAATGAATACTTTTAACCTCTGAAATGTTTGATCAATAAGTAACTGTCATTTGAAATGTTTGCTTTACAAATATTAGTTTAATTATGTATTTTATGTAGGTAAGTGATAAATAATGCATTACTAAATGTGTCATTTAACGATGCACGTAATTACATTTCTAATGTGTTTGCATTTAATTTATAACTTACTAAAATCTGTATTTCATTGTTTATTGCATACATTTTAATTATGAAATATTGGTAAATAAATGTTTAATATTCTATAATTTATAACAATGTAAAGCTATCATATGTATTTCTCGATACCAATATCTTTGTGATCTGTTTAGGAAAAAGAAAAATTCATTTTTTAATGGAAGATGACAGGGAAATGGTAGAAGAATATCATATAGAAACTAATGTGTTACTTCGAAGAGCTTGGAAAGAAACAGGTAAACTTGGTCAAAATGTAGGCTGGAACATAGAAATTGGAGATCCTGAACCTACACAAAATAATATTGAAATTTGTGGAATTCAGGAAAGTTCAAGTAATGTACGTAAAGTTTATTTTATTATTTTCATAAGATAGGTGTTAAACAACCTTAATATTTCTTTTCATAAATTGTTCTGTTTAACATCAATTAATTATTAAAATTGACTACATATCGAATGTACCACACAAGCAGAAGATTTATTATATATTTAACCTTTTGTATCCTAATTTATCTATACGTCAAATAATCAGTAACTTCTAATTGCTTTTAGTCAATGTTATGCATATTAAAACAAAACTAGGGTAGAAAATAAAGGAATTTGTTAGGCATATTTAGGCCGGGGGCATAAAAACTCGTGTGTCCCCGGCCTTATAGTACAAAAGATTAAAACTTTTGAGTATGATTAATGATAATCATATACATTCTCTAGCCATTTATTACTAGAAGGATAACAAAAACTTCACTTGAATGGCGCATAAGAAATTTACCATATCCACAAAATGTATATTCAGTAACGGCAGAGGATGATGGAACAATAACTGTTCGTACAAGTAATAAAAAATATTTTAAAAAGATAAGAGTTCCAGATTTAGAACGGGTCGGAGTAAAACCGGAACAAGACAGAATATCTTTTACACATCAACACAATACCTTAATTATTACGGTATGGAAAACATTTAGATTTCGTCTTACTGTTCATGCATAAATTCTATGTTTATTTATTTTATAGTACAAAAAGCCACCTGCGCTTTTGGAATTAGAGAAAAAAGTGTTGAATGAGATCTTTCAACTGAAAGCAAGAAAAGATGGTGACGTACAGTGTCCAACAAGTTAATAAAAACCTTCGATTTTTAAAACTTTTTCGTTTTTCGTTCAGCCCATTTGTCACGTTTACGAAATTCATATAAAAAAATATACATTCGTATAATGAATGAAAGATTAGAACATTTAAACCAACCCTGCGACGTATTATTTCGCAGAAACCGTCTTGCGTACGTATTTGACAATTTTATTTAAAAATATTGCAACAGTTTTTGTGCTTATAAATAATTACTTAAATAAATAAATATATTTTAGTTCGTATTTTACGTTGAATACGTTTGAAATGATCGATAAAAAGCAAGAGGATAATTTGTTAATAAAGAGGTGATGCGCGCGAAAATCGAAAGATCGATCGATCGTTCTGCGTCGCGCTAATATCGACTGCATCCGCTACTGCGTATGTGTGCTGTGTTAGTGGTTTGCATTTTGATGTTACGCTTTTAAGTTCTTAAAAAAAATACTTGAACAAACGACGAATATGCCGAAGTCTATACCCGAGAGGTAAGTATTAATTAGCTTTTACTTTATATAGCACCGCTAGGTTTGTTCAGACATTCGAAGTTATTTATTGGTCTTAATCTAAGGTCACATTGTAAAGAGGTTATGTTGTGCCGACTTTTTTGAATATTTTCATTTCTTCGCTAGGCTGAGGTCGTAGAATAGATCTGTTTAATTATGAATCGAAAAGTTATTATAGAAATTCAATTTTATGTGTCTCATATAACAGTAATTAATAATAAATATATAATATATCTAAACGTATTTTTGACTTGGGTTAGCATGGTGACTAACTTATTGGTTGAAAAGCATATGCTTTTCATAGATAGAGTCATTAATAGAGGGTGCTATTTTATTCGAACGAAATAGCACATGTATACAAATCAAATATTTTTATTTGAAACTACGAATCCTTATCAATTGTTCCAAAGCAAAGTATTTTGTAAACAATATTGCCACTGTCAAATTTTCAAATTTCTTCGAGTTTTGTTTGTTGAAATTAACCCTAAAATGAAATTCGAGTAAGCTATCATTATAGTTATATATACTCCTTTCTTTCTCTTTTTGCTTTTGTTTGTCCTTACCTGTTGCATCTACCTGCTGACATAATAACATACATGTACAGTACCGGACAAAAATATAACTTGATTATAATCATTTCTTGAGGATGATAAATTTCTTTAGTATTTTTTTTATGAATCAATGAAAACTATGGGTCTTTTGAAACATTATTTTCTTCTCTACAAAGTGATATAGAAATAGTTCAAAATTAAGCGAGAATAAGGAAGTTATTGATATACAAATTAAACCAAGAGCGAATAGAACATCTTCCTTTTCTTGATGGTTACACATTTCTAAATGGGTGTTAAATTCTCATAGTCGTAAAAGAATGGTATAAGCGAAGCGTATTGCACCAGCAGTTAGTACTACGCAAATATTTCAAGTAGGACGGTACAACATCTCTTTATGAAAACATTGTAGCACATAAAGATAGTATTAGTTTTGTAAGACGTCCAGTAAATATAAAATTTAATCCTAAATAAATAATAGGTTTCATAAAACATGGAGATAGTAATGGTATGATACAGGAATGTTTCGCTTTTGATACAATAGAGCCTCTTTATTGAATTTAATCAAGTCAAATAAAATGTAAATAGATTGTGGAAGAAATAATTTTTCCACGTATATAATATGTTAAAAGATTAGTTCTTTAGGCAGGATAATGATCCTAAACGTAAAGCAAAGAGCGTCCTGAAATAGTTTGAGGGCAATCAATCATTGTATTTGAATCTAATTGAGCACATATAGGGTGAAATTAAAATAAGACTAAGAGGAACAATTTGAACAAATTGTTTTCCTGTTTATATTTTTTTTTAAATAATATACTCATAAACTATATAGAATTGTTACAGTTTTGCCCAACAGAATTCTCATATCTTTTACAAATTTTATTTTCAATTCTTTTTAGACCGTATACAATTTTACAGAGAAGAAAATTACGTTTCAGAATGTCTCATTGTTTAATGTAGAAAATAGTAAAGGAATTGAATTTCATATTAATTTTAATAATTGTTTTGTTTGACATTATTGTTCTTTTATACTTTAGGTGGTTGGAATACAAACCTTTCGGAAAAACTATAAGTGGCACAAAAATTCTACCGTTCAAAGTACCGCTGAAAGAGGTGAGTAATATTTATAAACCAGCAAATAGTTCCGTTTTAAAATTAGAAATACATCTCTCGTAGTCTTTTCGCGCATTTGTGTATCGTTCACGAAGGATTCTCTTCGTTCGTGATTTTTGCGTGGCGACAATTAGAGATCTCTAGAAACTCGAAATCTCGGCTACCTGAAAGTATCTAGCTACATAAATCAGTCGCAAACAAACCGTCGTGACGAGCAGACGTGTCCTCTGAGTTCTGTAAGTATTGAAACGACGATTAAGGACATTTGTATTCATTATTGCTAAGACCGTAAACAAAGAGCGTACGGCCGGTATCCCAATAGCACCACTGGCATAAACTCTGAGTATAGGAGTTATTCAGGTGAAATACGGAATACTAATGTTACATATAATCAATCGAGTTGTCGTAATAAAGACAAACTAGTAATTATAACAAATGAAACACATTGAGGAGGAGCCTTATCTTTGAAATTAAGGATTAAACATTCAGTTTTGTTTCAAGAATTAACACTAAATATAAAGCTTCAGTAGTGTTTTTTTTTACTACAATAAATGCGCGTTAATTGTTAAAAATAAAACATTCTAACGGTGAAATGTCCTTTATTCCATTGTTTTTTAATTTTGAGAGGTGCAAAGTAGTGCTCATTGTCGGCTACTTATAATTTTATTTGTGCTTTCAAATATTTTTCTACTATTTTTTTGTTGTTGCAAACTATTTTATTAAATTCTTGAAACTAATCTGGCGTAACAAGTCTGCTTGTATATTTGCAATTAGCAAGAAGTTCTGTTGGGATTTTCAATATGTTTCAATCGAGGAAAAAAATACATGATGTTAGGAAAAATGATAAATTGAGAACTTGTAATTGGATCAAATAAAACAGCTGGTTTTTTGTGCATAAATAAAATTCATAATAAATAAATCGAGCGTGCTGTTTTATCGTTTTGATTGTAGACAACTAGTGTTGCCAATTGAAACTTTAGTCCAACGTAAGCGGTGATCTAATTAAGATATATATATTGTTAGAACAATTGTCAGGCTATCTAATCCAGAGAGGGTGGATATCGTTCTCAAATCGCGACGTTTCTGAAACTGTTACTTTCGAAGATACAGCCGCTGTCTTCGGAGTTGCGTTACTGTTCTTTCTTTTTTCCCTCCGCGGTCTTGCAGTAAATCAAGGATCCTCTTTGCGGGGGTCGTAGTGGCCTCGAAGACGAGATAAGATCGCATCGAATTCCAGAAATGGAGGGTACAGTGCCATACGCGTCGGTGCATCTCGCGCGAGTTAGGTATGGGCCACCGTGAAGTCGATGCAAGCCAGTGGTATAGAATCAATTTTTACAGTACCCTTCTGTCGTTTAGTACAACATTCGTTAATAATCTCTCGTAAAATATTATTATTGCTAACGACTTACAGAAAACAGCGTCAGAATTAATTTAAAACGCTCGAGTAATATTTGTGTAACAATATTATTACGTCATTAAAACATTTTTGGGCTTCAACGTTCATGAAAGCCTCGACCACAATCAGCGAACTGTATTTATTAGGTTGAAAAGTATGTAATTTTCTGATAGTAGGAAATATTCAACAATGAATTTTCCTTTCCAACTTACAACTATTTCCATCTTTCGATCAGTTTTATAATTTTTCATTCGTAAAAATTCCTCTGTTTCGTAAAGAACTCGTAAAGAACTTTGTCCATTAATGGAATTTTATAGAGTCAAACAGATGGTGAAAATTGTTTATTTTAAACAAAAATACTACTTCGATTTTACTAGTCGGCATAATATGTTGAAAACGTTCCTATTGGACGTCCAGTTGTAAAATTATGTCAGAATTATAAAAGAAATCCAGTATCTTCGGTACAGTACTCGGTTAAATGTTGTGTTTTTAAGATTCGAATTAAAGTTGCGTTTTAGAGCGTCTGAGGACATCGATTATACACAAAATTTTTGGTCAACCCGATGATTAGAACTTTCTTTTTTCGAACGAACGAAGTCTATGAAAATAGTTGTGGAATGGAAATTTCACTGGTTAAAAGTTGGTTCTATACCACTGCGACACTACGGATGAGAAGGTCCATTTATCCATCGGCGCTCTTGGTAACGGTAAGGTAAGAAAGGCATCTCCGATGAGATCTCGTATCGGTCCAAGCCAAATTGCTGTATTGTTGCATGTCCTGACTCCAGCGTAGATATAAACAAGTTTGATGTATGCACACACTTTTGTCCGACACAGGGCGGCAGCGCTTTTTGGATTGTGCATACCACGGCCAATTGTTTGGTTAGTAAGTAGCTAAGAAAAGTCCGACCATATGCTCCCATGCTGGTTGCCGCTGAGTGATGTATCGCAGACGTGCTGTGATCCGATGGCTTTCACAAGAGTCTTTCGATTTTACGGGCACACGAGCATAATGATATCTTTCTCCCCTTTCTATCCCTCTCCTTTTTCAATTTTTTCGTCACTATGATCGTATGAAACGCTAAACTGCATCGGCAGTGCAGTTCAATCGAAAAAGAAACTCTGTTGCTCTTCAGCAGACAATATTATCGATTGTAACAATTCCCTCAACAGTGTTGTACATTCAGAATAAATACTCGAGAAACAAGTACAATGGATTAGGAGTTCAAGCATATATTATTAATTTTCGAAAATGAATTTATTAATTGTGGAACTTGTACATAACTTGAAGAGGAATTTCGTGAACTAAATATTGGCAATTCAATAGTTATAATAGAATTTTTAAATTAAACAGTGAAAGTTTTAGTTTCGACAATGTTAAGAATTCGCGATGAATGAAAAAAGAAAATAATTAATTGGGAATTTAAGCATATGCAGACATTATTTCGTAAATTTTTCGAAACGAGTTGATTAATCGTGAACTTTGTTTGTAACTTAAAGAGGAATTCCATGAATTGAATATTGGCAATTTGATAGTTATAGTATTTAAATGAAACGGTGATTTCGTTTTCGTGGTATCATTGATCAATGGCTCGTAGATCAAGACGTAAGCAACGACATCAACGGAACATGAATCGGAAATATTAACATGAGAAACAGTGTTTCAGGGGCGCTGTAAGAAAATGAGTTATGAGATAGTTTCTATGGATATTCGTGGTGACTGTTTGAATGTTTATGACCGAGGATGCTATTTTGTGTATCGCGTTTGAAGAACCAATCTCCCATGTCTAATATCTTAACGTTATCGAATAGCGGTTACATGTGTAACTTTTGATAGTAACGGACCAGTCTGTATGAGAAATAATTGCATTGTTATTATCGTTATTGTAATTTGTGGAGGACCCAATTCAAATGTTATGATTAGACTGCGGATGTTTGTGTATTTATAGGAAATTTTAATTCCTGAAAATTTATAAAATGCACTTTATATGCAAAAATAGAAGAGATACTCAAAGTAAGATATGAATTATTATATTTAGCGGTTGAGACAACCCTCTGCTCATATTTCCTTAATTCTATTAATAAAAATATGAATTTGCATAAAGATCCACAATCCAATTATGAACGTGTGTTCTAAATTAGAGAATTAGTTAATTTATATCGTGAATAACACCGAGTTCTAAATTAGAGAATTAGTTAATTCATATCGTTACGCGAATCAGATTCAACATAAATTGCTGAAGAATAATATTCATGATTTCTATAATTTCAAGCATGAAATCTTGAAATCCGTCAAAATGGTGGTTAAAGTGTTAAATCTTTCTGCGCCCACAGCAGATTCTCTCTGAGACGCGACACTTATCGACGAGAGTAACCGAAATTGAATCATTCTTATCCCATTCTCGATCCTCGAGTTTCAAATATTGTTATTGAAGTTTTCATTCGTATGTTCGACGAATTCACCGATACATCTAGTCGATAAAGTATGTGTCTTAGGGTGAAATTCTGAGCTTAGAGTTCTCATCTGTTTGAATTGATTTGGTCGATCTCAGATATCATTTCTATCAAATTTGTTTCATTAATCTCTTCTTCCGATAGTAGTTCTTTGATTCTTCAGGACCCATATCATTTAAATCTCCCAGAAGCGTAGGAAGTTTTAGTATCGCTTCGATTCTAATTTCTACTGGATTACGGTGGAACTGATTGTGGCCATAAATTTTTCCAACAGGCATTCAATGTTTATATCCCTGATAAATGAAAATATCTAGAGTTTTATTCACAACCCGTTCCAAAGACTGCCAGATATAATAACATTTTAACGTATCTATGATTCCCTGATCCAATGGTTGAAGCAACGTCGTATTCGATAGCACGTATGCTTGCTCACACGTGTGTTTGCGTTTAAAAAATTGAGACGTCTCGTATAGGGGATACCCGTATTACGATCTTAACGTTAGGTTCAATTATTCGTTCCGCGTTTCATATAGCGGACCGCAACGCGGCACTAATGGTATTTCTGATGAAATTTGAAGGATGATCGTATCGCCGGTCCGTTTAATTCAGCCCCCGAGGGGTAAATCTCGGGAGACTGGAGGGTAAAAATGGTGGTATCAACAGTCCACAAATGTTCATGTCAAAATCGGCGTGAGCAATTCCATGCGCCGTTGGTGGCGAACAGCACCGCTATTCCCGTTTATCTTGGGTCATTTAATTTCCGCCTAACTCTCAACCAACCGGTTTTTCTTGTCTACCGTGGTCGGCCGGTACACCGGACAGTTGCAAATAAGTTCGAAACCTTTTTTGGGTGGATTGGCCGCTATACATATACGCGCATGCATACGCAAAATAGGAGGGTGGCCGGCTAATTGATTCTGGCGTCGCGGGCATTACATAAAACAAGTCGAAGCGAGGGGCCAGGAATTGGACTTGGGTTGATTGGGCCCGTTGTGGCGGCCGCGGGGGGTCACTCGTTAATAGGGCCTTCGAATGCCCGCGCCAGCACCCATTCCCGGGTTGCTTCTCCTGCGCCTGTGGAACGCACGACGGACCGCTTTTTCATCTTCTTCTATAAGAACGTGTAACAAATATCGGCTCACACGAA